TAGTATATCATAGATTTTAGCAAAGTATCTTAACCCTTTGACTCCTACGTTGAATGTAATTCGACATCACATTTCTCTTGTGTCTTATGAATAATTCAGACAAATAGATTGGTTGAATATATATATTATATTTATATTCATTTACTATTTATAATAAATGAAAAATGTATATGTCACATATTCTACATTGTTACAACACATTTTACCGACAACTCCTTTTCTGATCTATTTTGGAATTAGTAGGTAATAGGAATTAAGGAGCGCAAAAGATTAAAATACACCGAAACTACAGTGTCAATTTCTTTTTGCACACCCTTCAATCTCAGATCGAATGTACTTCGTCACAATGAACATATCAAATGACCGGTAACAACAATGTCCTATGAAAATCAACAACCACGAAACCGAGTATTCGGTAGCGCGCGTTCGGCCTGATCCATTCGCGCGATCAAACAGCAGTAAAATAGTAGCCTAACAGTTGCTAGCACCCTAACCAAGCGCTGGCGTTCGATCGATCGAAATTGATTTAAATGAACGCGGTAACGAGACAGCGCGGAATTTATGCCGACATCGTGGCGCGAGCGTGTAATTCGTCGACTAAAATCTCGGCCCGTTCTCGCATAAATCTCGCGAGACATTGTATCGTTTAACCGTAGCACTATTTCGATGGTTTGTCTGAAGGCAAATTGACGGCGAATTGTGCACACGCGAAAAACCCGTGCGGTCTCGTTAATCATCCGTCCGGTGACGTACGACCGATTATTATTCCCGCATTAGCTCTTGAAATTGAAGAAAGACCTGGAATTACTACGTTGGACCAAGGACGTTAATGACCACGGTACACGAGTTATTAGACCTTTCCCTTGTTGTACACCTGGCTCAATGTTACGGACCGACATGCCAGTTACCGGAGCAACTTCGTTTACCTCGAACACGATACCGTGTCCTGTATCCGCGATATTGTCCGGAGGATATGAAACGGATACGAGCGTAAGGTGATGTTGCTTTGAGGATCTAGGAAATTTTTAGATGACGTTATATTCGGGATCTAGGGAATTTCGAAGTGATTTCGAGTATCTAAGTAACTTCGGGGATTTAGAGAATTTCAAGACGATGTTACTTCGGGGTTTTAGAGAATTCTGAGGTGATGTCATTTTGAGGATCTAAGGAAGGTGACATTATTTGAAGAATCTAGGAAATTTCAAAATGACGTTACTTCTAGTATCCAAAGATTTAGAGGATCTAGGGAATTTTTAGATGACGTTACATTCGGGATCTAGAGAATTTCAAAGTGAGTTTGAGTATCCAAGGAATTTTGGGGATCTAGTGAATTTTAAGACGGTGTTACTTCGGGGTTCTAGGGAATTTTGAGGTGATGTTACTTTGAGGATCTAAGGAACCGAGGTGACATTTGAAGAATATGGGGAATTTCAAAATGACGTTATTTCGAGTATCCAAGGATTTCAAGGATCTAGGGAATATTAAGACGATGTTACTTCGATGATCTAGGGAATTTCTAGGTGGTGTTACTTGAAGGATCTAGGGAATTTCGTGATAATGTTATATTCATAGTCCAAGAAATTTCGAGGCGATGTTAGCTCAAAGATCTATGGAATTTTGAGGTGACGTTATTTCGAAGATCTGGGGAATTTCGAGGCGACGTTATTTAGGGGTTCTAGGGAATTTGGAGGTGATATTACTCCGAGGATCTACGGAATTTTCAGAAAATTGTCACTCTGAGGATTCAAGTTCCTGAGTCCATAAATTTGGAAATTTAAAATTTAACATGAAAACTTGAAAGTACAAAAATTCCCAAACCCCTAAATCAAAAAATTAGCAAGCACAACTTCGAAACCTCAAACTCCCAAAATTTATAAGCCAATGTCATAAAAAACTCCACAAAAAAAGAATTAACGAAATTTCATTGAATTCCAAGTACGAAGCTTTCTAAGAACCCCATCGTAAATACATCCCTAAACGTTAATCTACAAAAGTAACCCAAATCCTTTCAGAAGAACGTAGAACATAACTCTTAAAAAAAGCACCTACAACACGTTAAAAAAGACCATATAGTTTCGAATTTCGTCGCGTCCTCTAAGAGACGTGTCAGAATTTTCAGTGGAGAGCTATTGAGTCTAGTTGAAAAGCTAGCAAAATGGAGAGCGATAACGAGTGACACGTGGGCAGAGCGGATCGAATCGCAGCTCGAGGCGCGAGTTAACTTATTAGAGGGCAGCTTGATGGGTCCGGACGTGTTAATACTTATCATAATGGGCCCTTTGTCGCGGCGCCAGCTAACAATGCGTTCGTTATTGCACGGCCCTGCAGTTGCATTTGCACTGCTGGTAGGCGACCGGTGGCGTTCTTACTGGGTCATTAACGAGCCATTGTTTCATTCGATTGTTTATTTGCTCCTCTCTACCGATGTATTTAAACGCTTGCTCTTTTTTCTGCTCGATGCTCGAATTAATCGGTGCCTGGATAATTAGTGATACAAACGTGTGCTCACGTTAGATAATTAGTACGCGGTACCGATTATGGATAATGACACAATGGCTATTATGTTATAAACGCTATTATGTTATAATACCTATAATGTTATAACAGCTATTGTGATACTTGTCGTATTGTATTATCTCATTGTTATTTAGTTTTAGATATCATTATTATTTCGTTTCAGGTTACTGCAAAATTAAAATTGAATATTTTTACACACTTACTCGTGTGATCTTATATTTTTCTTTATAACTTTAGTTTGTAGTTAATTTTAATATTTTAAGTAAAGTGATCTGTGCTAGAGTCCATCTTGTTATGTTTTATATATAAAAGTAAATCGTGTAATTTTCAATTATAAACTTGAAGAAAATGCAAGTAAGGAGTCTGTGACAATAGATCTCACATGGCTAATTTGTTCTAAAGTACGTAGTTTGTCTAACAGGAGTCCATAATTCAAGTTCATTAAATCAGTGTCCATATTACAGATGACATAAATTCGAATTCAATACTTATATCAATTTAAAAAGGTATTAAACAGGTTGGAATCAGATAAGAGAAACGGTAAGAAAGATGGCCATGACTGTAAGTATCCGTTTTCGTCGTGAAAAGAATACTTGCGACGTCGATTATCTCAGTTATTATTATTGGAAACACCATACCGAACCTCGTTATATTTCTTTACTTGCCCGGGATCGATGAATTGCAAATGAAACGGTCCGCCCAAGGCTGTCGAACAATAAGATCTTGAAATTTATACTCTAATATTATGGAGGCACGGCAGCCGGTGAAAAACAAAACCGAAACAGGGAGACCTTTATTTCCGAGGACGTTGATATTAGTAAAAATCTCACGTACACGGGACAGCCATCGAAAACATATACTCATTCGACCGCTTTGGTGGTCCATGGACCACCCTCTTACGAACTGACGATTCTTCTCATTTAAAAGGATATACGGTAAGCCTATACTTTTCTTTTTCTTTCGTTTTCCATACGCGCGTCGCGTGTGTGCCACACGCGATTTTTCTTCGGCTTCAAATTTGTCTACGTGATCGATGACGCGACACACTTTGTTCAACCTTCCTGTATAATGTAATGAACCATTTTAGGCGCGCACGATGGATAGCTTTTATTAATTGCGATCCTGTTGCCGAGAAAATTCTGTTTAATCTCTGCGTCGGGTAGGTCGGTTTTTATACTTTGATGGCTGCAATTAACGGCTCATGTATTTAATGACTCGTGTATTTGTTCCAATAAATTTTTGCACGCCCATATAAAATTAATCGGCCGATTATTCTTATCGAACATAAATTAACTTCGTATTTTATAAACGTTGCTTGCATTTTCTAATTATAGCTTTGCATTTGAGTTTTGTCTTGAATTTGTATTTGAACAAAGTGTTCGCTGTTTAAATTTCTTTAACACGTATGTATGGTCAAAATTTGTTTATTGTTCACAGATGAAAAGTCATCCATTCATCACATAAATTAAATCATACAGGAAAAGTCGATGTAATTTGTTACACAAATTTCAGTCATAAATTCATGTGCAAAGTATGTTTCAATGAAAAATGTATTAACATAAATATTTACATAAATATTGACATAAATACCACAAGAAATTATACATAACCTAACATAAATATCAACACACAAAAATCAAAAGCAGAACCAAAGACGAAGAAGTAAAAAACTAAAACAGTAAAGAAAGTTGCAAAAATTCTTCACACGAGAACCGCTAATGCCACAGAAAAGCAACGAAAACATTTGCAGCGGGTAAACCCGCCATTTTTTCAGCTGTACAGTACTTTGCAACAATTGGGACCACCATGAGTTAATAACACCGTTTACCCAGAAAGTTGACACCCTCTGAAAAGCCAGCCCTTCTAAGTAAACAGACACCGCGATGCACTTTTCGCCACATACGTGACCATTCGAGAATGGAAAATGGTGGCTTGAAAAGAACCACATGGCCACGAAGGTGAGAAAAAGAAGGGAGCTCGGGTTTCGACGATAATCTGTTCTGATCCGTGACACAACACTGCACGACTTTCCACATGTTCACGTGCATTTCATGGAGTCTAAGGCTCCAAAGAGGATTTCGCTGGCGATCTTGTCAATTGTCGGTAAATTAAAAATAGATTGAAACTGTCGGAAGTAACGAGGGTTACGATGGTATTTCATTCTAATTACGTGCTTTAGATACCACTTTGGTCGGGGTCATTTTCGACCTTAGATTTTATCGAAACGAAATTCTATTCTTTGGACTCGAAAGGGTAGATCATAGGATATGTTTTACCCGCGTGGTCGTACATTATTCATATTGTTTGTTCTTTTGGGGTTCATTTTCTTAGATATGTTTTGAATGAAAATTTATCTATGCATGGAAGTAGTGGAATGGGTTTGAAAAAGACGATATCTAGAGATAATTTTTAATATTTGTTAATTTAGAATAGATGGGTGATTTTTGAAGATGAAGGTTTTAGGTATTGATGTGTGCACTCACCTTCGTACATCTGCGCATATTGCGGAAAACCGGCAGCTCTCAGCCATTTGCAGGCCTCTTGGGCTTCGATTTCTGGAAAAAAGAAAAACCAAGTGTGAGTGATGATGATTTCGGTGATTTGACAAGTGAAAATTGTATAATACTTAGGGATCGTAGAGTTTGAGGATCCAGATATAAGGAAATTTATGGATTTAGTGATTTGGGTCTCTAGGAATTCAAAGATGGGATAATTTGAAAATTTATCAAGCAATTGTGGAATTGGAGTTTTGATGAAATTTGAAAATTTGTAGAACCTAAGTAAATTAGAGAAATTATAAAATTTAAGTAATTATAAAGTAAAAATTTGTCAAAATTCAAGTAATTGTAAATTTAAAAATTTGTCAAATTTAAGCATATTATAAATTTAAAAATTTGTCGAAATTCAAATAATTGTAGTTCTGAGAATTTGTGAAGTTCACCAAATTAAAAATTCCGAAAATGAAAAAGCTAAATCGTTCAGTTTAAACTTTCCTGTCCTTCCAAAGAATCACCGTATAAAAACCTTGATTCCTAAAAATCCGTAGCCACAAAAAGTTTATCAAATCACCGAACATTCTCGTTTGATTGCGAGTCACTAAATTAATGAGTTGCACTCGGTCGAACAGTGGAATCATTATCGAGGATGATGGCCAGCCACCGCGATAGACTCGTTCTCAGGAGGCACGCGATGAAAAAACGAAGTGGGTTTCGCATTTACATGAACAAACATTCTGATCATTAGTGGCCGAGATTCTTGTTGTATCAAGGGACGACCCTGCTTGTTCCTTTTGAATGAAGGTCTCGTCAGAAAAAGCTGTAACCACGACGAAACTGTGCCCTTCATTATGCGAATGAGGTGCACCTTGGCTGACTATAAAGGCGAAAAAATCGCGGGTGTACCTTTCATCGAGTTACAAACGTGAAAAACCATGGAAAAATTACTGTGTAACGTGAACTTCCTTTGTACGGATAAATTATGGTATTTAAATTACCAAACTTTTGTATTTGCTAGTCTTTAAAATTTTCTAGTTTTTAGGTAGTTTTTAATATTGTCAAGACGATAGTTCTCAGATTTTCAGATTTGAAAAATTTTAATGGGTTACATTTTTAATTTTTAAAATATCGGATTCATAAATATATAAATTCAAAGCTTTAGATTTCTAGGTTACTAAATTACCAAATTAACAAATTCCTAAAGTTCTAAATTCCAAAACAAACATTCTCAAAGCTCCAAATTCCTAAACTTCCACATTTTCAAAATCCTACATTTCCAAAATTCCTAAAATTTCAAAAATTCCCAGAGTTCTCAAAATTTCCAAAATTCTACATTCCCAAACATCCAAATTTGTAAAGACTCAGATTCTAAAATTCACAACCTCGCAAATATTCGATCTTCCAAATTTCCAAATCTAAAAATTTCCTAGATCTCCAAATACCTAGGTCCTGAATCCCTACGTCCCCAAATCACCACATCCGCAAATTCCTACGTCCCCAAATCCCTAGATACCCAAATTCTTACGTCCCCAAATCCCTACGTCCCCAAATACCAACGTCAGCAAATTCCTACGTCCCCAAATCCCTACGTTCCCAAATTCCTACGTCCCCAAATTCCTACGTCCCCAAATCCCTACGTCCCCAAATCCCTAGGTTCCCAAATCCCTACGTTCCCAAATACCAACGTTCCATTGGAAAATTTCTAATATTCCACATCCCTGGCTACCCAAATCTCTCCATCCCAAAACTCCAAACTCCTCAAATCCGAAAATTCTCCTACCTCCAAATTATAAAATCCCCGAAACTCCTATATATCCTCAAAAGCTCAACCCACCTCAAAATTTTCCTCCGTCCAAAAATTCCCAAAAACGAACAACTAATAAATTTTCGATCCGTAACAATATTTTTCCCAAGAAAGATTCGCTCTCGACAGAAGGTACACAAACTTCGTGTAAACAGAAAAATCGATGATTTGTTTGTCGAAATACATGAATGAGTTTGACGTCCCGTGCGAAATGTATCGAAGATATCTTCTAGGAAAACATGTCGCGTTTATCCAGCGTAAACACGGCAACCTATGAATGAAGAGGATGAATGACGAAAGAACGAGAGATCTATTCTTAAGAGCGCCAACAATGGAATGTTTTTACGATAAGAAATAAGTGCTACTGAACTATGCTCACTCATAACCTATTTGGCATCCCGTTGCCTAACGCGCAAGATTAGATACGCTGCCCGTTCCGATAACTTTTCCGATTGAAACGTTCGAAAGAGTGAAAGACCGTCGGGTCTTATCAAGCGCGATGATCGAGCAAGAAGCTGTGTTGCAACACCAGTCACGTAAATCCACGTTCCTTGGATCCATATACGTAATTTCAGACTTTGCTTCGCTACACCGTTTCAGACAGCTACCTCCGATAGGTATTTGCTACAATTTTCACTCCGCATTGCTGTTTCGTTTTGTTGGCAGTTTTTCAGAAATTTCTGGCTTCATTACTTCGTTTTAGAGAGGTGCGATAGTTTGCTGCAATTTTTACTTTGTATTGGTATTTCGTTTTATTGGCAGTTTTTTAGAAAATTGTCTCGCTTCGGTACTTCGTTTTAGTTACTGGTTATTTAATGATTTGGTGCAATTTTTATTCCACATTGCAATTTCGTACGTAGAGAACCACGATTCAAGAAATTGTGGATTTAGGGATCGGTGATTTAGGAACTGGGGATTCGAGAATTGGGGATGTAGGAATTACAAATTTAGGAATTGGATATTTAAGGATTTAGGAATTTAGGTATCGGGAATTTAAGAAATCGGAGACTTAGGGATTGGTGATTTAATAATTAGGGAATTAGGAATTGGAGATTTAGGAATTGGGGATTTAGGAATTAGAAATTTTTGAATGAACTATTTGTGGATTTAGGAATTTAGGTATCGGGGATTTAAAAAGTCGGAGACTTAGGGATTAGTACAATTTTTACTCCACGTTACAATTTTGTACTATTGCAATTTTTTTTAGAAATTTCAGCCTTTATTTCATTATTTTATTTTAATGATTCAGGTCATTCATCAATTTGGTACAATTTTTACTTCGCAGAGCTATTTCGTTTCATTGTAAATTTTTTATGAAATTTCAGATTTGATTTTATTATTTTATTTTAGTGATTTAGGTTACTCAATAATTTGGTACAATTTTTAACAACGATCTATTGTATCTATACACAGCATATTTACAATATTATGTCTATATTCTAATACTATATAACTACATATTATGCTCAGTGCATACATTACAATTACAGAAATCTATAGTTCATTACATTGCATCTTAAACTATTTGCTAAAATTTTTATGGAACATTTCAACCTTGTTTTATTACTATTTCAAAGATAATTTTAGCAGAGAAAGACTCTGGCAGCCATCGACCACCCGCCGTGGCCAAAAAGAGGACTTGTAGCATTGATATCGATGAGATCGCGCATCGCCGCACGATAAAACGTACCTACCTATCGCTATCGATATCGCCAAGCTGAATTTATCGATTTCCCAAGCAGCGGGAAGTCTGCTCTCAGGTTTACGCCAGAGGAGGATGAAAATAGAAGTAGAGAAGTTAAAACGTCTTTATTTTCCTATGATGGAGTCTGTGCATTGGCGTAAGGATGGCCTTGACTCAAATTCACAAGGATTCCAATTACCACATTTTCAAATTATAAATTTTATAAATTCAAAAATTTTTTAACTTAGAAATTCTCTTTCTGGGTTTGCATATTTGACAATTTTTAAATTCTTGAGTCAAGTTATCATATCTGCAAGTTTTCAAGCTTTTAATTTGTAAAACTGCTAAGTTCTCAAAGTACCAGATTCTTAGATCACTGAATTTTCAAGTCCTTAAGTTCTTGAAACTCAAATGTTCAAATCTCTAAATTCTTAAATTTTCAAATTTTTCAATCAACAAATTCTCAAATCTCCAAATCTTTAAATCACCAAATTCTCACGTCCATAAATTCTGAGATTCTCAAATTCTCAAAGTCCCAAATTCCTAAATCCCTAGCTTCTCAAATCTCCAACCTCCAAACCCACCAACTAAAATCTCCAACTTCTCAAAATTAAAATTTCAGAAATTCAGAAATTTTCAAATTTTCAAACTTCCCCCAAATTCCTAAACTTTCAAGTTCCCAAAACATCCAAATCCAGCAATCATTAAACCTCCAATCATCCATCTCTCCAACTCCCCAAATTCAACAATTACCAAAGCCATCTTCCCTATCATGAAATGCACCAAAAATCCTACTTACGCCAATGCAGTCACGACTGCAGCCATGTATGACACCGCACAAGAATCCGCATTGATTGCAAGTTTTTCAGCAAACGGTACATTAATTATCGTGCATTATCGTGTCTTTATCGACGACTACCTTGTCGAGATTCGCAAGGAATGTTAGCTGCGAATTTGATGCATGCACGGTGCTAAAATTCGAGGTGGATTTCTGTGGGACCGCGAGTAAACGAGGGACAATTCCAAGGACGTTCAATCGAGAGCCTTTCACTCTCGAAGTGTCGATTGGAGTTTATTAATTGGCGGAACGGAACGGCGTTCGCGTCGACTTCCATTAGGTCGAACGGCCCGTTTCGAGAAGTGGGGCGTTGTATGCGAAACTGATCCAGGAACACCCTGTTTCTATTGCGTTTACGAGAATCGGTTGCTTGTTGGAGTGACAGCGATACGAATGTGTTGACAGAAAAATCAAGAGAAAGATAGATGGGAAGATAGATAGATCGATAGAAAGATAGACAGAAAGATCGATAGAAAGACAGACAGAAAGATCGATCGAATCAAATATTTTATGAAGAGAGGAGCTGTGTTTGACACCCAAGATATATTGAAACATTAGTGGTTTGGGACCTTGAAAATTTTAAAACCTTACAAATTTTGGGACCTTTTAAGGACTTGTGAGGTATTGTGGGTCTGTGTGAATCTATGTGGATCTATGTGAATCTATGTGGGTCTATGTGGGTCTATGTGGATCTATGTGGTACTTTGAGAATTTGTACTTGACTCCAAAAATTT